AAAAAAATGTGACACTCTTGAATGATCAAAACTAAAAATGTTACTTAGAATAAGACAATTAAAATTACATTATAGAAAACACAGTGTATTCTAATAGTATGTAGAAAGTATTAATCCAATAGTATAATAAACACAAAAATAATAACTGTCTGTGTAGCCTACATGGCTCAGTACTATTAGATGGAGGCACAAATATTTTTAATGTTCTTACACCCACGGCAAACACTCAAATGATGCATAACTCTGTGTTCTTGCTAATACAACAGTAGTGCAGCTAATATCACAAAATTTTGTGTGTTATTAGACAAGCACATCATATACATTATCAGATAAGTTAAAAATCATAGAATAAAAAAATACTAAACTTTTAAAATAATGAATGGACTCTCAAAAAAACTCTACTTCGCTTCAACATTGTTTTATTCCCCTGCACTTCAAAAGACACACACATATTTCACATTGTTTTGTTGTTCTACAAATAAAACATTCAAAAATTATAATCTAACTTGTACTCTCCTATTAGTACAAGAGCCAAGAGCACCGATATATATATATATATATATATATATATATATATATACATATACACATATATTACTTGGCATGTGTATTGACTTTAATTTTTTAATATAATCTGGCAAAGTTGTAAAATAATGTACATCTATTGTAAGTGAATTTTTTGTGGAAGCTGTTGGTACCGACACCTGATGAAAATAATTCCTACATCCTATGCCCTACATCACATACAAAGTTCATATTAATTATTATCCATTTGAAAGCATCTTGTACATAAATAAACAAATTATAACGAGCCTGATGGATTCAATAATGAATTCAAGATCAAAACACTGGCAACAAGTTTCTAAATTCATTCTAAATAAGATTTAACAATGTTAAACTTCATTTCTTATAAAAGAAAAATAAATAAACAAATAATTAAATAAATAAATAAAAGACAACATAAAACTACTGCATGGGAGAATTTGACACCCTGGCCAATTAATCACTTCTTCTGAAAATAATACTGGAGATGTAAGTTTTCTCTTTGATGGCCGAGGAAATTGGAAAGTACACATAACAAACTGCAAAATTATCATTAGACATCAATTATAATATTAGTTGTTTTGAAGTAAGAAAAATTATCAGGGTGTCAAAATCCTCACATGGTCCTGGTAATTAGAGTTAATTTATGTTCACTTACCATCCCGAATAAGAGAAAAGTCCGGAATAAAATGCCAATGCAATATATCCAGGTTCTACAGTAGAACCAGACATAGGACGATCAAAGTTCGGTGATCCATAAGCAAATAATGCATACAATCCAGCAATAATTATAATGATAAGAGCCAAAATCTTGGTCCCAGTAAATATATCTTGTACTCGTGTTGCCCATTTAACGTTGTAACAATTGATGACTGTAAGTAAACCTGAAATACAAATTAATTCTTATAAGTACAATACAACATAATAAAAAACATCTTAAAAGAAACAAGTTATTGACTACCATTAAAAGTAAATACTGGTGAATTGCTAGAATATTTCATCCTAAGAAATTAACCTTAAAACTAAATATACATTTTATTGATCATGGAAATAGGTAGTTTATGAAGTGGTTAATATTCAGTGGCAATGTGCAGTTTTGAACTTAATAAATGACAAAACTTAACACACAAATAAATCTATTATTTATTTATTTATTTTCCAAACTAGATCTTTCAGATAGATCTTTTAACAATGTGTGCAGGTTTTCTTGATATCCGGGATCCCTCTCTGTTCTTTATTAAACTAATGTATAGAAATATTTATTATTTAACTAACTTTAATTATTTTTTATTGCAGTAGCATAACAAAATGAGTGTGGGCTTGCTTGCAAATCTTCATTCTGGGCTCCTTTATAAAAGCATATAACAACCACAAGTAGTGTTATTACTGTTAATAATAATAATAATAATAAAAAAAAACTCTAACAAATTCATATTCATCAATCTATGATTACTTTATAAAAAATCAATGTTGCAAACAGATTTATATTGATTTAGAAAAAGGGTTTCATAAGTTACTGAAGCAGGAAAAAATTGTTCTCCTGGAAGATTTTTAATCTTTCAGTGTATCAACTATTGAAAAATATCAGATAAAGTATTAAGTAATTAATATTTCTTTTAATCACAAAACCTTCACTGCAAAAACAGACACTCTTTTAGCCGAGCCTGCTTGCATAGCGGGTCTTGCAAGCCCGAATGTTATGCCACCACTTTATTACTACTTTATTGAATTATGAATGAAATTGCAACAAGCATTCTTAATAACATTTTATAACAAAAAGGGTTTTCTATTGGTTAAAGAGATTATTTGCAATGAGAAATTTAGGTAAAATATATACATTTATTTGTACTTACTGACATTAAATTCATGAAGGAAATTAGATTTTTAAGAAAATAATTATGTTCAAAATTTATTTATTTTTCTGCAATATTCCAGTTATTTTTATTTGCAAACAATGTCTAAGAAATTCTCACTGATACTTTGGACACATAAACAATTGTATGTGCACCAAAAATAAAATGCAATTTCTATATACATAACAAATGAAATTAAGAAAATGAGATGGTGACATACTACATTTTTCTTGTTTCTCCACAACTTTGCAAGACAGTTCAAGATTAATGTTTCAAGGAAAATTTGTTGCTAAGGAACAGATTACGGGGGAGTCCCCTCCAGTATAACCCACGTTCCAAAACATTGAGGTGATTTGTCCCCCACCCCAGCATGCAGTTCCACTCATGGGTGTGTTAAATATAATCCTATTAATAATCCTTGAGATTTGATTTTCAAACCACTACTTTGGAAGGATCGTCTTTAACTGGGAGAACATTTTATTATGTAGTATATAATCAATTATTAAAAATGTAGTAATTTGTGACATTACTTATACAATGTGAAATTAATCTTTATTATGAATTTCTTTCAATACTTTTTCATTCATTGTTCAATTTTGCTTCTACTTTTTTAAAAAACGGCAACTAATATTATATTATAAAAGTGACTTTTGAGTTCCTTAAAAGATAATTATCATTTATGAATAATATGGCAATTTTAGATCACAATTTAATTATTATTTCATTCTGATGGTTATCTCTTTCCAAACCCACAAACCCAAACGAGATAAATGTCTGCGAATCAATGGAGTTTATATTTTCAAAACCACAATTATGTGATGTTGGAACCGCCCGTTTAAAAGTTTGGGAGCCTGCGGCCTGCGTTAACTCAAGCCAATGGACGCCCCCCTTGAAGGGCTCCTCAAATACGCCGCTGAAAACAATGAACCCGCGCCGGCAGCGGAGATCGGGGACCGGAGGTGTGGCGGGGAGGGGAGATGGAGGGGGAGGCTGCGCGAGCGTGGGTG